CTGAGCAAGGCGCAGGGGGGGGCCGAGCTCTGCGGCTGAAATGGTTTTAACCTTCTGAAAGCCACAGTATGTTTGCAGGAAGTGTAATAAAGCTCTTCCTGTCCCTCGCTGCTGACAAGGGCTGATCTCTACCCAGGGCAGAGGCGCGGAGCGGCCAACCCACCCTCGGTGCCTGCCTGTCGAAAAGCACCGAAAGCATCCCTTACCGGGTGAAGCGATCGGCACGGGCTGGCGAGGAGGCAGCCCTGGCAGCACTGCCCTTCTGCTCTGCTTTCCGCTGGCTTCTGGCTCTCGCAAGCTCTGTCCGAGGGAGGCGTGTCCAGGGGACTTCTCCCGGCTCTCGGCCCGACCGTTGTGCTGTGAAACCTCTGCGCACGTTGCCTCGGAGTGTGCCCTTCTGCCTAGGCAGCTGTAGGAGGTTGCATGGCCTTGGACTTTGCCCCTGCCGTGCTTTGACTCATGGCCCAGCCAAGCCACGCCATCAAGCACAGAGGTCGACGGGAGCGCGCCGGGGTCAGGGCACGGCATTTCGGTCAAGACTGGCTTGTTGATGTCTGCAGGAAAGCCATGGTCCCCCGTGCCCAGCGAGCACCCAGGACAGACGGTGTGGTGGGCAATGCGCACAGACACAGCCAGTCTGGGCTTTCACAGCCGGCAGAGGTGCCATGGGACAAACCGAGCAGAAAGCACCCACCTCCTCCTTCCTATCAGCAGGCTGGCACCCCATGCTTGGAGGAGCAGTGATAAGTGACAAGCACCAGAGGAGACCAAAGGTCTCGCTGGCGGAGGTGGCAAGAAGCAGAGCAGAGATGAGAGGGCAGCAGGGCAGCCTGTGACCCAGCGAGGCTGTGCACTTGTGATGGCATGTGCCACCAAGCAGCTCATGGAGGGTTCTGCAAGTGAGCCGGGAGCAGCTTTTGGCACACAAATGCTTGTGGGAACAAGGCACAGATGCCCAGGGTTGCTGCTTCACCCCTCCGTGGCCTGGGGAGGAAGACCCCACCAGCTGTAAGAACTGCCTGGACGAAAAGCACCCCGTGTCTGGGTAAAACTAGAGCGAAGACGTTTTGGCACAGCTCAACAAGCCCCAATTACCCCGAACCCTGACCCCAGTGGAGCGTGCCATCTGCTCGTCACCCCGCTGCCACTGCAGAGCTCATCTCTGCCTTGGGGTGGGAGGGCTGGCCGGGGTGGCCGGGTGCTGCCGTGCAGATGCCAGACTGGCCCAGCCGGCTGCCAGGCACGCGATGCAACCCAGGGGGTATTCTTGTTTTGGACACTGGAGCGCAAACCCACAGCTGGTAGCTTCACCAGGTCACCGTGCCGGTGGGTCAGGGCTCAGCTCTGGGGGAACCTTGTCAGGTCAAGCACTTTCATTTCAGCCCCTGTAGAACTGAGGGTGGGTGACAGACAGAGACGGGGTGCTTGTACCAGTGGCCCTCAGGCTGCTCCTGCGCACTTCACCCAGAGGAACAGCACACTTAAAGACTGCCTGATTTTAATACAACTTAATTCATGCTTTCCAGGGCCTAAGGGCACTAACAGACCTTTCTGGCCACGATGAGCCTCACCTGGGCCCAGTCACCCCCACCCACATGCTGGGAGTGCTATTTAAGCTCAGTTCAAAACCCTCCCTGGCTGTGGTCCTTCTTGATAGAGATTTTGTACCTTTCTTGCCTAGCCTCAGCCCTGACTCATTGTGGAGGCTTATTGTGGTCCCCTCCTGGCAAGGACAAATTGTCCTCTGTAAAAACCAGGCTGCCGGGACCGACGGTGCCAGGGCAGAAAAGCCAGCTGGCAGGGGGAGCTGCGGCTGGCAGAGCCAGGGCCTCTTGCTTCAGGAGGTTCAGGTAAATCTCGGCTCCTGGGGCTGCCCAGCAGCCTGGGTGAGGGTGCATTGCTGGCTGCCGGGCTACAGGGAAGGGGCTCGCTCTGCAGTACGCTCTCAGCAGCATGGGTCATGTGCCGATAAACAGGAATTGCTGTGAATGTACTCTGCCCCTGGGAGACTGAAAATCGCATGGAGGGGAAATGGAGCTGTGAAGCTCTGTGGGAGGGCTTCAGGAGCAGGCTGCTGCTGGGAGCTGCTTCCCTCGTTACCTGCTGTCCTAGTTTGGTCCAACCATGTTATCTCCCTTGGTTGCACTATTCTTTCCCCATGGCACTGGGAGCCAGGTGCCTGTGTCCTCATGGCTCAAGGTCTGCCCTCAGTGCAGTACTTAAATCAACAGCAATAGGGAAGAAACACACTGCTTAGGAAGGCAGAGCTCTTTATAAACCCCAGGACAGACCCCTGTGAGCCCCATCCAGGCAGACATTCTGGAGTGGGCTGTGCAGGGTACGCTCACGACAGCAACACAGAGTATTTACAGCACACAGATACACGGGCGACTGCAGACAAATCTCTGCAAAGCCACAGCTACCACAAACACCGTGGGCTAACGCAGCAGGTGCCCAACAAGGGCGTGCCGATTCACCATATCAGCAGCGAGCTGCCAGGTGAATGCGCTGAGCCCTCCCTGTGCTCTACAGGGACAGTCTTTTTCACAGGAGAACAGTCGGTGCAGCTGCTTGGCCAGTGCACACCCTGCCTGATGGCCCATCAGGAGGGCAAGGCAGCACCAAACGTCTAAGCGCGGGCCCAGGAGCTGGCAGCACCGCAAGTATTGAAGTCTTGGCTGGACAGACAGGGTCTAGGATGTGAGTTGAAGTCCCAGCATCGCCTCCCTGTGTGCACCTGGAAAACCAGACGCGTGCCGCCACCTCTGTGAAGGACCCGGCCATCAATGGCTCCAGAGCGCAAAGAGGGCAGGCGCGCTGAGCGGGGACAGCCAGCAGTACTCCACCACGCTGTACAGCGCGTAGCCCAGCAGCAAACCAAAGAGCACGTCCGTCACGTTGTGCCTGCCCAGCATGACCCTCGAAACGCCGACGATGAGAGCCCAGAGCACCACGAGGACACGCAGCGGGACAGCCAGCACCAGGTGGTGCAGAACGAAGCGGCAGACCAGGGCGGCTCTGGTGGCGTGGCCCGATGGAAAGGAGTACTTGTCCACCGAGATGGTGACGAACATGTCCATCTTGTTGTGGGTGGGCCGCCGCCGCTTGACGAGCCCTTTCACCACAGCCACCAGCACGAGATCCAACAGCAACGCTAGGAGACAGGAACAGTGAGTTGGCAAGGTTTGGGTTTTTGTGTTCTCCACCCCCCCCAAGGAAAACAAGGCAAGAAGCAAAGCCATTAGCTAAGAAAGCAAGCACTTGGCTACCAGAACCTGCTAAGAGAAGGCAGTATTCCCCATGGCTACTGTTCCCAGACAGGAAAAGCAGGGCCCTCATCCAGTGCCTGGTGTTCTGCCGCACGAGGACATCTCCAATCTCCACTCCTGCTGCATGCAGCCCTTGTGTGTTGTCAGCCCCTCTGCCAGCCCCGGGCAGCAACAGGACTTGCCCTGGCTTGCACCCAAGGGCTTTCTTTTTCTGTAAAATCTCATCTCACCATGACTCGGGGCTCAAATTAACCCTTAACCTGAAGGCAACAGAGGGTTAGTGTTCCCCACAGCTCCCTTCCCGACAGCCCGTGCTGCCTCAGTGCTGCTTTGCCCACCCTCCTGGCTGGGGGTCAAATCGACCCGGGTGAATGATCAACTTGCCTCAGCCATGGCTCGGGGTGAGGGGCCCCGAGCTCGCGGGGTGCTGCCATGGCTCCCGTGGTCTGGCTTCCCCCTGCTGCCGCAAGGATTAATGCCAGAAAGTTAACCATGCTTTGGTTTCCAGGAGCTGAATAAAGGATGATTTAAATGATGGCAGTTTGCCCCCAGAGAGCTGAAGGCTGTTGCGACAGGAATCGGAGGCGAAGCAGTTCTGAGAAGTGTGCGGCTGGTATTTGGCAAGAGCAGCTTCTCACGTGGCGCAGGGGATGCCTTCTCCAGCCCCATTAGCTCGCCTAGCGCAGTGCTCGCAGCCAGGGCTACTTCCAAGGAAGTCTTGTGAGAGACTGACTTCCACTCTTGTTTCTGGACACCAAATCTTTTGGTCACTTCAGTTCATTCCCTTTGGTTAATCATTTAAGAACAAGTATTTTTTTTCCCCATGTGTAAACCTAGCTTTTTCTGGTTTTACACATGACTTGGGAGAATCAGCTTGGACATTCGGGGTCGTGAGTGCTGCAACCCTGAGACAGGGCCCCAGCAAGGCTGGTGGCTCTGGGCCAGGCCAGACTTCCTTGGAGCAGACGTTAGGGTGGAGGCCTCCCTGTCCCTTCCCACAGCTCTGCTGGGAGACTGTAATTTAACTGTGTGCTGCTAGATGAAAAAGATGCACAAAGCCTCTGCAACAAGTAAATTTAAATTCAAATAAGTGTGGGATACCAATTATTTGCAGCTTCAGAAAAGAGTAAGAACTAGGGACCTGAAAAGGTCTCCTGCTCTGGAGCTACTACAGTTTCTAAATGAGCAGAAATGAAGAGTCTAAGTGCACCTAACAGGTACTAGGAGGGAAATATTGCACCACACAAAATTAAAATGCACGCTGCAAACCGAATTTCCTCACTGGCTGACAGAGATCAATCCAGGCAGGTACGGCTGGCAGGGAGCCCGAGGGTGCAGACGTCTGTGTGCCGGAGCAGCTTTCCAGGGAACGGGGCCGGTGTCTCAACCCCAGGCAGCCGCGCCTGGAATGCGCTGTGTCCTGATAAGCTGCAGAACTAAAAGAGAGAGTTCAGCTCCCTGTAAGTTCTGCGCAGCTCCCAGAGGGGTTCAGCTGGTGGGGAGTTCCATGGTGTGTGGTTGGTGCCGTGACAGATGAGCCGTACCCATGCCACCATGCTGTGGGGTTACTGGGCACCCCGTCTGAGTCCTGCCCCAGGCCCCCCTCCCCGGCAGAGCCCCCCGCCTCACCGAAGAGCAGGTTGAGCAGCACCTCCCTGACCGCCGAGCTCCCGCTCTGGCAGAGCCCGTAGCAGGTACCGAGCAGCCAGGGGATGCCGTGCCCCGAAACCTCGATGACCTTCATCAGGGGCCGGGCGCTGCCCCAGGCCGAGCCCTCTCCGGCGCAGACTCCCAGGCGTTTGGAGGCCCAGAGGTCGACGGCGAGCAGGGAGCTGAGGGCGATGCCCAGGAAGGAGGGGTTCAGCTTCATGCAGTCCTCCTCTGTGCGAGCAGTGCCATGGGCAGATGAGGCTGAGAAACAGCTTTCCAGGCTAGCTCTTTCTGCCTGCGAGCTATC